AGCTTGTCCTCACACCTCTAACTGTATTGTTCAGCTTGTCCTCACACCTCTCATTGTATCTCTCAGCTTGTCCTCACACCTCTCATTGTATCTCTCAGCTTGTCCTCATACCTCTCATTGTATCTCTCAGCTTGTCCTCACACCTCTAACTGTATTGTTCAGCTTGTCCTCACACCTCTCATTGTATCTCTCAGCTTGTCCTCATACCTCTCACTGTATTGCTCAGCTTGTCCTCACACCTCTCACTGTAGCCCCTCTTCAGCTTGTCCTCACACCTCTCATTGTTTCTCCCCAGCTTGTCCTCACACCTCTAACTGTATTGTCTTGCTAGCTTGGTCCTCACCCTCTCATTGTATCTCTCAGCTTGTCCCTCACACCCCTCATTGTATCTCTCAGCTTGTCCTCACACACCTCTAACTGTATTGTTCAGCTTGTCCTCACACCTCTCATTGTATCTCAGCTTGTCCTCACACCTCTAACTGTGTATTGTCTTCAGCTTGTCCTCACACCTCTCATTGTATCTCCCAGCTTGTCCTCACACCTCTCATTGTATCTCTCTCAGCTTGTCCTCATACCTCTCATTGTATCTCAGCTTGTCCTCACACCCTAACTGTGTATTGTTCAGCTTGTCCTCACACCTCTCATTGTATCTCTCAGCCTCTTGTCCTCATACCTCTCACTGTATTGCTCAGCTTGTCCCTCACACCTCTCACTGTATCTCTCAGCTTGTCCACACCTCTCATTGTTTCCTTCCCCAGCTTGTCCTCACACCTCAACTGTATTGTTCAGCTTGTCCTCACACCTCTCATTGTATCTCAGCTTGTCCTCCTCACACCTCATTGTATCTCTCAGCTTGTCCTCACACCTCTAACTGTATTGTTCAGCTTGTCCTCACACCTCTCCTCATTGTATCTCTCAGCTTGTCCTCACACCTCTAACTGTATTGTTCAGCTTGTCCTCACACCTCTCACATTGTATCTCTCAGCTTGTCCTCACACCTCTAACTGTATTGTTCAGCTTGTCCCTCACACCTCTCATTGTATCTCAGCTTGTCCCTCACACCTCTCATTGTATCTCTCAGCTTGTCCCTCACACCTCTAACTGTATTGTTCAGCTTGTCCTCACACCTCCTCATTGTATCTCTCAGCTTGTCCTCACACCTCTAACTGTATTGTTCAGCTTGTCCTCACACAATCTCATTGTATCTCTCAGCTTGTCCTCACACCTCTAACTGTATTGTTCAGCTTGTCCTCACACCTCTAACTGTATTGTTCAGCTTGTCCTCACACCTCTAACTGTATTGTTCAGCTTGTCCTCACACCTCTCATTGTATCTCTCAGCTTGTCCTCACACCTCTCATTGTATCTCTCAGCTTGTCCTCACACCTCCTCATTGTATCTCTCAGCTTGTCCTCACACACCTCTCATTGTATCTCTTTGCTTGTCCTCACACCTCTAACTGTATTGTTCAGCTTGTCCTCACACCTCCTTGTATCTCTCAGCTTGTCCTCACATCTCTAACTGTATTGTTCAGCTTGTCCTCACACCTCTCTATTGTATCTCTCAGCTTGTCCCCTCACACCTCTCATTGTATTCCCCAGCTTGTCCTCACACCTCTAACTGTATTGTTCAACTTGTCCTCACACCTCTCATTGTATCTCTCAGCTTGTCCTCACACCTCTAACTGTATTGTTCAGCTTGTCCTCACACCTCTCATTGTATCTCTCAGCTTGTCCTCACACCTCTAACTGTATTGTTCAGCTTGTCCTCACACCTCTCTCATTGTATCTCAGCTTGTCCTCACACCTCTCATTGTATTTCCTCAGTTTAACTCTCACACCTCTAACTGTATTGTCTTCAGCTTGTCCTCACACCTCCTCATTGTATCTCTCAGCTTGTCCTCACACCTCTAACTGTATTTTTCAGTTTGTCCTCACACCTCTCATTGTATCTCTCAGCTTGTCCTCATACCTCTCACTGTATTGCTCAGCTTGTCTTCACACACCTCTCTCATTGTATCTCTCAGCTTGTCCTCATACCTCTCACTGTATTGTTCAGCTTGTCCCCACACCTCTCATTGTATCTCCCAGCTAGTCCTCACACCTCTCACTGTATTGCTCAGCTTGTCTTCACACCTCCTCATTGTATCTCTCAGCTTGTCCTCACACCTCTCATTGTATCTCTCAGCTTGTCCCTCTCACACCCCCATTGTATCTCTCAGCTTGTCCTCACACCTCTAACTGTATTGTTCAGCTTGTCCTCACACCTCTCATTGTATCTCAGCTTGTCCCTCACACCTCTAACTGTGGTTGCTCAGCTTGTCCCTCACACCTCTCATTGTATCTCCCTGTAGCTTGTCCTCACACCTCTCATTGTATCTCTCAGCTTGTCCTCTCACACCTCTAACTGTATTGTTCAGCTTGTCCTCACACCCCTCATTGTATCTCTCAGCTTGTCCTCACACCCTAACTGTGTTTTCAGTTTGTCCTCACACCTCTCTATTGTATCTCTCAGCTTGTCCTCATACCTCTCACTGTATTGCTCAGCTTGTCTTCACACCTCTCATTGTATCTCTCAGCTTGTCCTCATACCTCCTTACAATTGTATTGTTCAGCTTGTCCCCACACCTCTCATTGTATCTCCCTTGTCCTCACACCTCTCACTGTATTACTCAGCTTGTCTTCACACCTCTCATTGTATCTCTCAGTTTGTCCTCACACCTCTAACTGTATTTTTCAGTTTGTCCTCATTAATCTCCTCATTGTGGCCCCCAGCTTGTCCTCATACCTCACTGTATTGCTCAGCTTGTCTCACACCTCTCATTGTATCTCCCAGCTTGTCCTCATACCTCTCACCGTATTGTTCAGTTTGTCCCTCACACCTCTCATTGTATCTCTCAGCTTGTCCTCATACCTCTCACTGTATTGCTCAGCTTGTCTTCACACCTCTCATTGTAACCCCCTCAGCTTGTCCTCACACCTCTAACTGTATTGTTCAGCTTGTCCCCTCACACCTCTCATTGTATCTCTCTCAGCTTGTCCTCATACTCTCACTGTATTGTCAGCTTGTCCTCACACCTCTCATTGTATCTCAGCTTCTGTCCTCATACCTTCACTGTATTGCTCAGCTTGTCCTCATTAATTCCTCTCATATTGTATCTCTCAGCTTGTCCTCATACCTCTCACTGTATTGCTCAGCTTGT